AAAACGTTCTACTTAATTAAATAGATATATATTTTTAAATAAATGTTTTCTCCTACAACATCAGAGTGCAGCGCCACATTAAATACGCACTACAATGACAATAGTTTAAAGCGATTTGAAGCATGTTTTATTTTAAAATTGGAAATATTTTTGGGGGGGGGGGGGGGCAGAGCTTTGTGACGTCATATTTGAGGGGGGGTCTGACTTTTTGTGACGCCGTGTGACGTCATTTATGGACGGCCCCTTTTAACTTTTTTGTTATATATTCATCTAAAATGTTTTAGCCGGGTAAGGCGCGCTTCCGTGGCTGTCTGGAACGCTGTCTTCCTTCCGTTATTAGGAAGCCGCTGGGAGCTTTGATGCCACTTTGAAATCATCACCGAGATCGACAAACTCATTTCTGCGAAAGTGCTTCTTGTTGTCGTGACTGCAGGAATTCAAATTGTTTGGGTCTTTCGGTAAAGTCACCTTGATAGGTTCAAAATTAGTCAAAATAAACAAAAAAAACACAACACACAGCAAACCGGTTAGTGCTGTACTAGTAACGAATTGTAAATGTTGTAGTGGGTTAAGCTCTCCAACACACAGCAACCGGTTAGTGCAGTACTAGTAACGAATTGTGAATGTTGTAGTGGGTTAAACTCTCCAACACACAGCAACCGGTTAGTGCTGTACTAGTAACGAATTGTGAATGTTGTAGTGGGTTTAACTCTCCAACACACAGCAACCAGTTAGTGCTGTACTAGTAACGAATTGTAAATGTAGCAGTGGGTTTAACTCTCCAACACACAGCAACCGGTTAGCACTGTACTAGTAACGAATTGTAAATGTAGCAGTGGGTTTAACTCTCCAACACACAGCAACCGGTTAGCACTGTACTAGTAACGAATTGTGAATGTTGTAGTGGGTTTAACTCTCCAACACACAGCAACCGGTTAGTGCTGTACTAGTAACGAATTGTAAAAGTAGTAGTGGATTTAAAACTCCAACACACAGCAACCGGTTAGTGCTGTACTAGTAACGAATTGTAAATGTTGTAGTGGGTTTAACTCTCCAACACACAGCAACCGGTTAGTGCTGTACTAGTAACGAATTGTAAATGTTGTAGTGGTTAACTCTCCAACACACAGCAACCGGTTAGTGCTGTACTAGTAACGAATTGTAAATGTTGTAGTGGGTTTAACTCTCCAACAAACAGCAACCGGTTAGTGCTGTACTAGTAACGAATTGTAAATGTCACAGTGGGTTTAACTCTCCAACACACAGCAACCGGTTAGTGCTGTACTAGTAATGAATTGTAAATGTTGCAGTGGGTTTAACTCTCCAACACACAGCAACCGGTTAGTGCTGTACTATTAACGAATTGTAAATGTTGCAGTGGGTTTAACTCTCCAACACACAGCAACCGGTTAGTGCTGTACTAGTAACGAATTGTAAATGTTGCAGTGGGTTTAACTCTCCAACACACAGCAACCGGTTAGTGCTGTACTAGTAACGAATTGTAAATGTAGTAGTGGGTTTAACTCTCCAACACACAGCAACCGGTTAGTGCGGTACTAGTAACGAATTGATAATGTTGTAGTGGGTTTAACTCTCAAACACACAGCAACGGGTTAGTGCTGTAAAAGTAAGGAATTGTAAATGTCGTAGTGGGTTTAGCTCTCCAACACACAGCAACCGGTTAGTGCTGTACTAGTAATGAATAGTAAATGTCGTAGTAGGTTTAACTTTCCAACACACAACAACCGGTTAGTGCTGTACTAGTAACGAATTGTAAATGTTGTAGTGGGTTTAACTATCCAACACACAGCAACCGGTTAGTGCTGTACTAGTAACGAATTGTAAATGTTGCAGTGGGTTTAACTCTCCAACACACAGCAACCGGTTAGTGCTGTACTAGTAACGAATTGTAAATGTAGTAGTGGGTTTAACTCTCCAACACACAGCAACCGGTTAATGCTGTACTAGTAACGAATTGTAAAAGTAGTAGTGGGTTTAACTCTCCAACACACAGCAACCGGTTAGTGCGGTACTAGTAACGAATTGATAATGTTGTAGTGGGTTTAACTCTCCAACACACAGCAACGGGTTAGTGCTGTACTAGTAATGAATAGTAAATGTCGTAGTAGGTTTAACTTTCCAACACACAACAACCGGTTAGTGCTGTACTAGTAACGAATTGTAAATGTAGTAGTTGGTTTGACTCTGCAACACACAGCAACCGGTTAGTGCTGTACTAGTAACGAATTGTAAATGTCGTAGTGGGTTTAACTATCCAACACACAGCAACCGGTTAGTGCTGTACTAGTAACGAATTGTAAATGTCACAGTGGGTTTAACTCTCCAACACACAGCAACCGGTTAGTGCTGTACCAGTAACGAATTGTAAATGTTGCAGTGGGTTTAACTCTCCAACACACAGCAACCGGTTAGTGCTGTACTAGTAACGAATTGTAAATGTTGCAGTGGGTTTAACTCTCCAACACACAGCAACCGGTTAGTGCTGTACTAGTAACGAATTGTAAATGTTGTAGTGGGTTTAACCCTCCAACACACAGCAACCGGTTAGTGCTGTATTAGTAACGAATTGTAAATGTTGTAGTGGGTTTAACTTTCCAACACACAGTAACTGGTTAGTGCTGTACTAGTAACGAATTGTAAATATTGTAGTGGATTTAACTCTGCAACATACAGCAACCGGTTAGTGCTGTACTAGTAACGAATTGGCCACGTTCTGTTTACGTAACGCAAACCCCTTAAATAATTGGCCATGTCGGGTGGTGGCGGCTTTAACGACACAGTAATTCATATTAACGCGATCTAACATCAAACAAACCTTAATTATTGATATATTATAATCATATATATTATAATCATATATATTATAATCATATATATTATAATCATTGCGTTGGTCATCCCGACACCACTCCCCCCACCTCTCCCCCCCACCCCTCCCCCCACCCCTCCCCCCACGTCTCCCCCCCACCCCTCCCCCCACGTCTCCCCCCACCCCTCCCCCCACGTCTCCCCCCACCCCTCCCCCCACGTCTCCCCCCCCCCCCTCTGTGTTTCAGGGGAAGCTCCACGGCGTGGCTGTCATGGCTCAGCGTGACAATTCAGGTGAGACTCCCGTCCCGTGTCTCTCTGTCTCTGTGTCTCTCTGTCTCTGTCTCTGTGTCTCTCTGTCTCTGTGTCTGTCTCTGTGTCTGTCTCTGTGTCTCTCTGTGTCTGTCTCTGTGTCTCTCTGTCTCTGTGTCTCTCTGTGTCTCTCTGTGTCTCTCTGTGCCTGTCTCTGTGTCTCTCTGTGTCTCTCTGTGTCTGTCTCTGTGTCTGTCTCTGTCCCAGGCCGTGTCTCTGTCTGTCTCTGTGTATCTCTGTGTCTCTGTGTTTCTGTCTCTGTCCCATGTCGTGTCTCTCTGTGTCTGTCTCTGTGTCTCTCTGTGTCTGTCTCTGTGTCTCTCTGTCTGTCTCTGTGTCTCTCTGTATGTCTCTGTCTCTGTCTCTGTCCCATGCCGTGTCTCTCTCTGTCTGTCTCTGTGTCTCTCTGTTTGTCTCTGTGTCTCTCTGTCTGTCCCATGCCCTGTCTCTCTGTGTATGTCTCTGTTCCATGTCGTGTCTCTCTGTGTCTGTCTCTGTGTCTCTCTGTGTCTGTCTCTGTATCTCTCTGTGTCTGTCTCTGTGTTTCTGTCTCTGTCCCATGCCGTGTCTCTCTGTGTCTGTCTCTGTGTCTCTGTGTCTCTCTGTCTGTCCCAGGCCGTGTCTCTCTGTGTATGTTTCTGTCCCATGCCGTGTCTCTCTGTGTATGTCTCTGTCCCATGTCGTGTCTCTCTGTGTCTGTCTCTGTGTCTCTCTGAATCTGTCTCTGTGTCTCTCTGTGTCTGTCTCTGTATCTCTCTGTGTCTGTCTCTGTGTTTCTGTCTCTGTCCCATGCCGTGTCTCTCTGTGTCTGTCTCTGTTTGTCTTTGTGTCTCTCTGTCTGTCCCAGGCCGTGTCTCTCTGTGTCTCTCTGAATCTGTCTCTGTGTCTCTCTGTTTGTCTCTGTTTCTGTCTCTGTCCCAAGCCCTGTCTCTCTTTGTCTGTCTCTGTTTGTCTTTGTGTCTCTCTGTCTGTCCCAGGCCGTGTCTCTCTGTGTCTCTCTGTTTGTCTCTGTGTCTCTCTGTGTCTGTCTCTGTGTCTCTCTGTTTGTCTCTGTTTCTGTCTCTGTCCCAAGCCGTGTCTCTCTGTGTCTATCTCTGTCCCATGCCGTGTCTCTCTGTGTCTCTCTGTATGTCTCTGTGTCTCTCTGTCTGTCCCGTCCCGTGTCTCTCTGTGTCTCTCTGTTTGTCTCTGTGTCTGTCTGTCTGTCCCAGGCCGTGTCTCTCTGTGTCTGTCTCTGTCCCATGCCGTGTCTCTGTTTCTCTCTGTATGTCTCTGTATCTCTCTGTATCTCTCTGTGTCTGTCTCTGTGTCTCTCTGTGTTTATGTCTCTGTCCCGTCCCGTGTCTCTCTGTGTCTGTCTCTGTCCCATGTCGTGTCTCTCTGTGTCTGTCTCTATCCCGTCCCGTGTCTCTCTGTGTCTGTCTCTGTGTATCTCTGTGTCTGTCTCTGTCCCGTCCCGTTTCTCTCTGTGTTTCTGTCTCTGTCCCATGTCGTGTCTCTCTGTGTCTGTCTCTGTCCCATGCCGTGTCTCTCTGTGTCTGTTTCTGTATCTCTCTGTGTCTGTCTCTGTGTCTCTCTGTCTGTCCCAGGCCGTGTCTCTCTGTCTGTCTCTGTCCCATGCCGTGTCTCTCTGTGTCTGTCTCTGTATCTCTCTGTGTCTGTCTCTGTGTCTCTCTGTCTGTCTTTGTCCCATGCCGTGTCTCTCTGTGTCTGTCTCTGTCCCATGCCGTGTCTCTCTGTGTCTGTCTCTATGTCTCTCTGTTTGTCTTTGTGTCTGTCTATCTGTCCCAGGCCGTGTCTCTCTGTGTCTGTCTCTGTCCCATGCCGTATCTCTCTGTGTCTGTTTCTGTCCCATGTCGTGTCTCTCTGTGTCTGTATCTGTGTCTCTCTGTATCTGTCTCTGTGTCTCTCTGTGCCTGTCTCTGTGTCTCTCTGTCTGTCCCAGGCCGTGTATCTCTGTCCCATGCCGCGTCTCTGTGTCTCTCTGTCTGTCCCAGGCCGTGTCTCTGTGTGTCTCTGTCTGTCCCATGTCGTGTCTCTCTGTCTGTCCCAGGCCGTGTCTCTGTGTCTCTCTTTTTGTCTCTGTGTCTCTCTGTTTGTCCCAGGCCGTGTCTCTCTGTCCAATGCCGTGTCTCTGTGTCTCTCTGTATGTCTCTGTGTCTCTCTGTTTGTCTCTGTGTCTCTCTTTCTCTGTCCCAGGCCGTATCTCTCTGTCCCATGCCGTGTCTCTGTGTCTCTCTGTCTCTTTGTCTCTCTGTCTGTCCCAGGCCGTATCTCTCTGTCCCATGCCGTGTCTCTGTGTCTCTCTGTATGTCTCTGTGTCTCTCTGTCTCTCCCAGGCCGTGTCTCTCTGTCCCATGTCGTGTCTCTTCGTCTCTCTGTATGTCCCATGTCGTGTCTCTGTGTCTCTCTGTCTGTCTCTCTGTGTCTCTCTGTCTGTCCCATGTCGTGTCTCTGTGTCTCTCTGTATGTCTCTCTGTGTCTCTCTGTCTGTCCCATGCCGTGTCTCTGTGTCTCTCTGTCTGTCCCAGGCCGTGACGTAGTGTAGTAGTATATAATGTTGTGTAGTAGTGTATAATGTAGTGTAGTAGTATATAATGTAGTGTAGTATATAATGAAGTGTAGTAGTGTATAATGTAGTGTAGTAGTATATAATGTAGTGTAGTAGTATATAATGTAGTGTAGTAGTGTATAGTGTAGTAGTATATAATGTAGTGTAGTAGTATATAATGTAGTGTAGTAGTATATAATGTAGCGTAGTATATAGTAGTATATAATGTGTTTAGTAGTATATAATGTAGTATAGTATACAGTAGTGTATAATGTGTATAGTAGTGTATAATGTAGTGTTGTATATAGTAGTGTATAATGTGTATGGTAGTGTATAATGTAGTGTAGTATATAGTAGTATATAGTAGTGTATTACGTGTATAGTAGTGTATAATGTAGTGTAGTAGTGTATAATGTAGTGTAGTAGTGTGTAATGTAGTGTAGTATATAGTAGTGGAGTAGTGTATAATGTAGTGTAGTAGTATATAATGTAGTGTAGTAGTGTATAGTGTAGTAGTATATAATGTAGTGTAGTAGTATATAATGTAGTGTAGTAGTGTATAATGTAGTTTAGTATATAGTAGTGTATAATGAAGTGTAGTAGTGTATAGTGTAGTAGTATATAATGTAGTGTAGTAGTATATAATGTAGTGTAGCAGTGTATAATGTAGTGTAGTAGTATTTAATGTGGTGTAGTAGTACATAATGCAGTGTAGTAGTATATAATGTAGTAGTATATAATGTAGTATAGTAGTGTATAGTGTAGTAGTATATAATGTAGTGTAGTAGTACATAATGTAGTGTAGTAGTTTATAATGTAGTAGTATATGATGTAGTGTAGTAGTTTATAATGTAGTGTAGTGGTGTATAATGTAGTGTAGCAGTATATAATGTATTGTAGTAGTATATAGTAGTGTAGTAGTATATAGTAGTGTAGTAGTATATAGTAGTGTAGCAGTATATAATGTAGTGTAGTAGTATAGAATGTAGTGTAGTAGTAGTATATAATGTAGCGTAGTAGTATATAGTGTAGTAGTATATATTGTAGTGTAGTAGTATATAATGTAGTGTAGTAGTATATAGTAGTGTAGCAGTATATAATGTATTGTAGTAGTATATAGTAGTGTAGTAGTATATAGTAGTGTAGTAGTATATAGTAGTGTAGCAGTATATAATGTAGTGTAGTAGTATAGAATGTAGTGTAGTAGTAGTATATAATGTAGTGTAGTAGTATATAGTGTAGTGTAGTAGTATATAATGTAGTGTAGTAGTATATAATGTAGTGTAGTAGTATATAATGTAGTGTAGTAGTATATAGTAGTGTAGTAGTATATAATGTAGTGTAGTAGTATATAATGTACTGTCGTAGTGTATAATGTAGTGTAGCATATAGTAGTGTATCATGTAGTGTAGTACAGTACATGCCTTAGAACACGTTTGGAATCGACCTTCGTCTTTGTCTTTGCCTCCGCGTTCTGCCCCAGGACTTCCACCTGTGGCTGACCGTGTCTCAGTGCGCATCCTGCACCAGGTCATGCAACGTCATCGTCTTTGTGACGTCACTCGCCGGGATTTCCCTTGGATTGGTGGGTAATGCACGCGAACAGCAAACTCGCCCGCCCGCTCACCACTCGTACACTCGCTCACCACTCGCTCACTCGGCCGCTTGCCCACTCACCCACTCGCTCAATCGCTCACCAATCGCACACTCGCTCACCACTCGCTCACCACTCGCTCACCACTTGATCACTCACCCACTCTCCCACTCGCTCACTCACCACTCGCTCATTCACTCACCGCTCACTCAACACTCGCTCACTCACTCAGCCACTCACTTCCTCAATCACCACACAAACTCACCCCCCACTGTGTGTGTGTCTGTGTGTGTCTGTGTGTGTGTCTGTGTGTGTCTGTGTGTGTGTCTGTGTGTCTGTGTGTGTGTCTGTGTGTGTGTGTGTCTGTGTGTGTGTGTCTGTGTGTGTCTGTGTGTGTGTCTGTGTGTGTCTCTGTGTGTGTGTCTGTGTGTCTGTGTGTGTCTGTGTGTGTGTCTGTCTGTGTGTGTGTGTCTGTGTGTGTGTGTGTCTGTGTGTGTGTGTGTGTGAGTTCCTGTCTGCCTGTAGCTCGCCTGCTGCCTCTACTTCCTCCAGAGACGGACGGTGCCAGATCCCATGGTGCTCATGCAGGGTAAGCGACGTTTTGGTCTCGCGGCCTACGGCAGGAACGCCTTCACGGGCTCCATAGATCTCCATGGATCTCCATGGGTCTCTGTTTTTCCGTGTCTCTATGGGTCTCTGTGTGTCTCTATGGATCTGTGTTTATCTATGGGTCTCTGTGTATCTCTATGGGTCTCTGTGTGTCTCTATGGGTCTCTGTATGTCTCTGTTTTTCTGTGTCTCAATGGGTCTCTGTGGGTCTCTGTGGGTCTCTGTGGGTCTCTGTGGATCTGTGTGTATCTATGGGTCTCTGTGTGTCTCTATGGGTCTCTGTGTGTCTCTATGGATCTGTGTGTATCTCTGGGTCTCTGTGTATCTCTATGGGTCTCTGTGTGTCTCTATGAGTCTCTGTATGTCTCTGTTTTTCTGTGTGTCTCTATGGGTCTTTGTGTGTCTCTATGGATCTGTGTGTATCTATGGGTCCCTGTGTATCTCTATGGGTCTCTGTGTGTCTCTATGGGTCTCTGTATGTCTCTGCTTTTCTGTGTCTCAATGGGTCTCTGTGGGTCTCTGTGGGTCTCTGTGTGTCTCTATGGATCTGTGTGTATCTATGGGTCCCTGTATGTCTCTGTTTTTCTGTGTCTCTATGGGTCTCTGTGGGTCTCTGTGTGTCTCTGTGTGTCTCTATGGATCTGTGTGTATCTATGGGTCTCTGTGTGTCTCTATGGATCTGTGTGTATCTATGGGTCCCTGTGTATCTCTATGGGTCTCTGTGTGTCTCTATGGGTCTCTGTGTGTCTCTATTAGTCTCTGTATGTCTCTGTTTTTCTGTGTGTCTCTATGGGTCTCTGTGTGTCTCTATGGATCTGTGTGTAACTATGGGTCCCTGTGTATCTCTATGGGTCTCTGTGTGCCTCTATGGGTCTCTGTATGTCTCTGCTTTTCTGTGTCTCAATGGGTCTCTGTGGGTCTCTTTGGGTCTCTGTGTGTCTCTATGGATCTGTGTGTATCTATGGGTCTCTGTGTGTCTCTATGGATCTGTGTGTATCTCTGGGTCTCTGTGTATCTCTATGGATCTCTGTGTGTCTCTATGAGTTTCTGTATGTCTCTGTTTTTCTGTGTGTCTCTATGGGTCTCTGTGTGTCTCTATGGATCTGTGTGTAACTATGGGTCCCTGTGTATCTCTATGGGTCTCTGTGTGCCTCTATGGGTCTCTGTATGTCTCTGTTTTTCTGTGTCTCTATGGGTCTCTGTGGGTCTCTGTGTGTCTCTGTGTGTCTCTATTGATCTGTGTGTATCTATGGGTCTCTATATCTCTATGGGTCTCTGTATGTCTCTATGGGTCTCTGTATGTCTCTCTTTTTCTGTATCTCTATGGGTGTCTGTGTGTCTCTATTGGTCTCTGTGTATCTCTATGGGTCTCTGTGTGTCTCTATGTGTCTCTTTGTATCTTTGGGTCTCTGTGTATCTTTGGGTCTCTGTGTGTCTCTATGGGTCTCTGTGTGTCTCTATGGGTCTCTGTGTGTCTCTATGGGTCTCTGTGTGTCTCTGTGTAACGACACGTGTTTGACCTCCTCCTTCCCACCCCTACTTTCCTCCACCTCCACCTCTTCCTCCCCCCTCCTCCTCCTCCCCCCTCACCTCCCTCTCCCCTCCTCCCCCTCTACCTTCCCAACACCACCAGAGCGCCACTTCTTCCACCACGGCGGGCACGGCGACGGAATCTTCGTCTTCCTCGACGAGGAGGAGCAGGGGGAGCAAGAGGAGCGTGGTGGTGGCATGGTCGTCCACCCCGACCGCGACTTTGGCGACTTGGTGCGCTTCCAGCAGAACGCCGGCGACCTGCGCTGGATGGAACCCTTCCCGTGGGACGAGGACGACGAGGAGCTGATCCTGCTCTGGGATGACTGAGGGCGGCCCCGCGGATTAATAAAGCATCGTTCGAGTCGCCGTTGGCTTTGTGATTGTTGTTGTTGTTGTCGTCTCGTTCGCGTTAAACTGCCCCTACAGACATAACAGGGCTGTAGGGTCAAGTGGCTGTGTGTAGCGAGCAGCAGCTGTAGACACACAGACAAAGGTCCCCCGTGTAGCCTCTAACAGGGCTGTAGGGGCAAGTGGCTGTGTGTAGCGAGCAGCAGCTGTAGACACACAGACAAAGGTCCCCCGTGTAGCCTCTAACAGGGCTGTAGGGGCAAGTGCTGTGAGTAGCGAGCAGCACCTATAGACACACAGACAAAGGTCCCCCGTGTAGCCTCTAACAGGCTGTAGGGGCAAGTGCTGTTAGCGAGTAGCAGCACCTGTGAAGGCTACCGGCCCTGTGGCACACGAGGGGGTGGGTGGCCAGCACCAGGCCCGACCGCCTTTGTCTCCCCAGTGGCGATGTTTACTGCACATCGCAGCAGGTACTCGTTTGAGGCTGAGTCAACCTAGGGGGAGACCCTGGACCGGTTTAGATAATCGTCACTGGCGGTGTTGGCCGTGAGCGGGAATCGAATTCGGGTCGCCGGGTTCGTAGCACAGCGTAGCGCTAACCGCTACACTGACACACACACACACCACACACACACTGACACACAGACACACACAACAACAACCGCCATTCGCCACTAAGTGGCGGTGACGTCACCACGACACTTGTGCCAGGCCATGTGCACCTTGAGGCCACGTGAAGTGTCGAACGCCAGCGGGCAGGAGGTCACGGGGCAGACCCAAGTGCCACGGGTCGACTGACTGAGATGACTGAGATGACTGATGCACCACCTGTGCCCCCTACTGTGCCAACCTGCTGTGCTTTAGCCACCCGGCGCTCCGCTCGTTGTTGTGAGCGTCGCTCCTCCGCCCTCCGTTGTTGTTGGAGGGTGACTACCTCCAACTGCCCAGTAGCGTCCTTCACGAGCCTCCTACACAGAGGCCGATCTTGACACCACTGGTACCAGTCATCGGCAAGTCCACTCAGCTCCACGTCCTCCTGTACCAGATCACTCCATCTCTTATCTAGCCCGTGCCGCGCCCGTTTAGGCCCCTCAATCCGGCCGAACAAAAGCTGTTTCGGCATGCGGTGGCTGGGCATGCGGGCTACATGACCCAGCCAACGCAGCCTTGCCTGCCGGAGGAGCTCACCGATGGGACCTTGCCCAGATCTTTCAAGGATTTGTGAGCTCCTCACACAATCCAGCCTGGTTAAACCCAGGATGGATCGTAGGCAGGCCAGCCTAAATGTTTCTAACCGGCGAAGATGTTCCATTAGGGGGGTCCACGTTTCGCAAGGGTAGAGAAGGGAGGGAATGACCGTGGCCGAGAAGACCTGAAGCTTAGTGCGGAGCGACAGACTAGGTAGCTTCCACACAGCGTTACGCAACCGATGAAAAGATATTGCCGCTCGACTGTTTCGGAGTGAGACCTCTGCTGTTAAACTGGAGCCGGTCATAAGCACACTACCCAGGTATGGGAAACTATCCACTCTCTCCACAACTGCCCCATCACCAATTGGGAGTTGTGGGGGTAGAGTGCCCGATGGTACAAAATACCCAGGCAGTTGCTTAGTTTTGGTGGGGCTGATGGTAAGGCCGCACCTCTTAGTGGCACACTCCAGTCTCAGCAGCAGCATCTCCATCTCCTCCTCTGAGTATGCCGAAATTACCAAGTCTCCGGCATACGTAACGTGGTTGGCCAATAGGGAGCCATCCCTTGACCGCACCCGGGCATCGATCAGCCTCCCATTGTATCTGTACCAGATGGAAATTCATCGGGTACAGCTACTGAAGGCTTCACGAACTACGTGATCGAAATAGATGTTAAATAATGTTGGAGCCAGAGGACATCCCTGTCGCATCCCAAGGTGTACAGGCAATGGCTCTGACGCCGGCCACGTAGTTTTACCCAGGCCCGCTCACCATCTTCAAGGTCCTTAATGAGCATGAGCAGAGGGTCAAGGACTCTGAAAGCACGAAGAACAACCCAGAGCCCAGGCCTACTGATGGTAGCATAGGCCTTGACTCACACAGACACACACACACACAGACATACACACAGACACACACACTCACAGACACACACAGACACACAGACACACACAGACACACAGACACACACACAGACACACACACGCACGCGTTCCCGTGAATATGCTCGGCAGCTGCTGGGTCTGTCCCGTGACCTCCTCCTGCACCTAGCCTGGCACAACAGTCAACCCAAGGCACCTGCTGGGTCTGTCCCGTGACCTCCTCCTGCACCTAGCCTGGCACAGCAGTCAACCCAGGGCACCTGCTGGGTCTGTCCCGTGACCTCGTCCTGCACCTAGCCTGGCACAGCAGTCAACCCAGGGCACCTGCTGGGTCTGTCCCGTGACCTCTTCCTGCACCTAGCCTGGCACAGCAGTCAACCCACGGCACCTGCTGGGTCTGTCCCGTGACCTCCTCCTGCACCTAGCCTGGCACAACAGTCAACCCACAGCACCTGCTGGGTCTGTCCCGTGACCTCCTCCTGCACCTAGCCTGGCACAGCAGTCAACCCACGGCACCTGCTGGGTCTGTCCCGTGACCTCCTCCTGCACCTAGCCTGGCACAGCAGTCAACCCACGGCAGCTGCTGGGTCTGTCCCGTGACCTCCTCCTGCACCTAGCCTGGCACAGCAGTCAACCCATGGGCACCTGCTGGGTCTGTCCCGTGACCTCCTCCTGCACCTAGCCTGGCACGCAGTCAACCCACGGCACCTGCAGGGTCTGTCCCGTGACCTCCTCCTGCACCTAGCCTGGCACAGCAGTCAACCCACAGCACCTGCTGGATCTGCCCCGTGACCTCCTCCTGCACCTAGCCTGGCACAGCAGTCAACCCATGGGCACCTGCTGGGTCTGTCCCGTGACCTCGTCCTGCACCTAGCCTGGCACAGCAGCCAACCCACGGCACCTGCAGGGTCTGTCCCGTGACCTCCTCCTGCACCTAGCCTGGCACAGCAGCCAACCCACGGCACCTGCAGGGTCTGTCCCGTGACCTCCTCCTGCACCTAGACTGGCACAGCAGTCAACCCACGGCACCTGCAGGATCTGTCCCGCGACCTCCTCCTGCACCTAGCCTGGCACAGCAGTCAACCCACAGCACCTGCTGGATCTGCCCCGTGACCTCCTCCTGCACCTAGCCTGGCACAGCAGTCAACCCATGGGCACCTGCTGGGTCTGTCCTGTGACCTCGTCCTGCACCTAGCCTGGCACAGCAGCCAACCCACGGCACCTGCAGGGTCTGTCCCGTGACCTCCTCCTGCACCTAGCCTGGCACAGCAGTCAACCCACGGGCACCTGCAGGGTCTGTCCCGTGACCTCCTCCTGCACCTAGACTGGCACAGCAGTCAACCCACGGCACCTGCTGGTTCTGTCCCGTGACCTCCTCCTGCACCTAGCCTGGCACAGCAGTCAACCCACTGGTACCTACAGGGTCTGTCCCGTGACCTCCTCCTGCACCTAGCCTGCCACAGCAGTCAACCCACGGCACCTACAGGGTCTGTCCCGTAACCTCCTCCTGCACCTAGCCTGGCACAGCAGTCAACCACGGGCACTGCAGGGTCTGTCCCGTGACCTCCTCCTGCACCTAGCCTGGCACAGCAGTCAACCCACGGCACCTGCTGGGTCTGTCCCGTGACCTCCTCCTGCACCTATCCTGGCACAGCAGTCAACCCATGGGCACCTGCTGGTTCTGCCCCGTGACCTCTTCCTGCACCTAGCCTGGCACAGCAGTCAACCCAGGACACCTGCTGGGTCTGTCACGTGACCTCTTCCTGCACCTAGCCTGGCACAGACGATCCTAAAAGCGGGCCAAGAGCCGTTTCCGAAGTGCGACCGATGTCGAACTTGCTCTTGCCGGGACATCTGAAATTGCAGCGACGGCGACTTCAATTTGCCCGGTTGTGCCTTAGCCAAATCGGGATTCTCGTTACGAAGGGCCTCTGCCCACGTTCCATCTGACCCGCGGGCATCACATGGGCCAACACGGTACCCGCCGGGGCCACAGCCGTCCTTTCACCCACATTCAAATATCGTTGCACCACGTTGATACGGAACGCGCAGCCCTGCTCGCGTGAACTCACATCGGATGAGGAGGGACGTGTGAACAGGCGGTGGGCGCGCTGTCGACGGCGGACACAATTCCGCCGTCGACCGTTCCGCGGGAATGCCCCCCGTGGTGCTGGTGGAGAAGTCAGACGGTAGTCCTGCGGCATCTGTGTCGGCTTCCGTAAACTGAACGGGGTGACGGTGGCCGGCGCATGCCACTTCCGCGTGCGGGCGAGTCTTTGGACGCATTGTCGAGTTTCTTTCCTTCGTCCCCTCTCCGATGTGCGAGCGGGAGCACCCATAGCGCTGAACTGGTTGTGGCTTCGAGGAAAACAAATTCGTCAGCTTGCGCTCGGGGCGGGTGTCGAAGGCACGTGCTGCGGCGAGGGAAATCACCGGCCGGGGGCCACGGGCCGCTAATGAGTGGGGCGCAAAGCGGTGCCAGCACGTGCCTCTCTGGGCTGTCGGGGCATTGTCCGCAGGTGCAGCTGCAGACATCGCCTAAGTTGCACCGTCCGTGGTGGGGATCGGTCGAGCTTGTGGAAGTTAATCGGCCCTTGTGAAGTGAACCAGTCGTGGTGTACGAAGGGACCGGTAGCTACGGGAATCATCGATGAAGGGGGCGTGGTCATGTGACGGAAGAGAACGGTGGAGTCTACTGGGAGAGCGAGCGTCCAGAGTCAGCGAGAAGGTTCGGGAAGGGGGGCATGGTCATGTGACTGAAGGGAACGGTGGAGTCCCCCGGTGGAGCGAGCATCCAGAGTCGGCGAGAATGATCGAGAAAAGGGGCGTGGCCTCGTGTTGGTATATAAGGGAGATGCGCGGGAGACTCGGGGCTGTTGCGGTGGAGGTCTCCGCCTGATGCCAAGTGAACGTGTCTTCAATGAGATGCCATCTCAAGGGAAGTGTGTCGAGTCGTCATTGCGTCAGTGTCGTGACGCAGTTCGGAGACAGGAATCATTGGAGGCGCCTTCTTTACTCTTGCACGCGAAGGGGACTGCACGCACCCTACGTGGGTGCACACTCTTTATGTATATCTCACACACAGCCGTGCCTACTCTCAGCGGTACTACCTAGCTAGTACAGTTGGCAGGCTGTCGAGCTAGCGGGGCCCGGTGATTAGGGGCGGAGCCAGGATGTTGACTTTGGGGGGGGGGGAGCGGGGGGGGGGTTGACTTCAATATTCTGAGATATCCAGTGTAATGTTTTCCAATGGGCGCCACAAAATGCGTAAAACAAATTGTCTTGGATTTGAACTCGGAGTTTATTAATAGGTCGGAGCCGCTGATGTGGCTGATAAGTTCGATGAGTTCGAAAGGCTGCCGCTCAAGCAGCCTGCCGGGCAGCACAAAATGGCAGCCTGCAGGCCAGCACGAGGTGGCAGCCTGCAGGGCAGCACACAAGGTGGCAGCCTGCAGGGCAGCACACAAGGTGGCAGCCTGCAGGCTGCCACCCCCAGCCCCCCCCCCCCCATGGCTCCGCCCCTGCCGGCGATGGTGAAGATGGCGGCGGCGACGACGGTGACGAACGGCGAGGAGATCCACTTTTAGCAACAGCCCCGAGCTCCCGCCTCAGGGCGTGGCCTCACCCCGCCCTGGCCACGCCCCCCTTTTGGAACCTACCAGCAGGTTCCCGAGGGCTTCCAGATGGACCCCTTCCAGAGCTTTCCCTTCGCTGTCTTACTCCCCGTATCTACCGTCGCCTGCTGACGTGCGGTGCTGCCACGCGCTGCCGGTAACACTTTTCGTCAGCAAGCAAGCACGCAATAGTGCCATCTTGATTTGAAGCTTTCGTGACTGCAGGAATCCACGCTCTCCATTCCCTTCAAGTAAAGTCATCACGTGGTAAGCGGGGAGAAAAAACTAAATAGACCAACGCAAGCGACCGTCCTCAGGTGTGAACGAGGGGGAAATCTTTCGATTGAAAGCTTTCGTGACTGCAAGGATTCATCTTCTTGGGTCCTTTCGGTAAAGTCACCACCACGTAGAATGAGAATGAAATAATAAAATAAAACAATAAAATTCTCACGACGTTTCGGCCACAACGCGAGCGGCCTTCTTCAGGTGAAGGAACAAAAAACTGTCGGGACGATAGAGCTCATTGGAGCTCATTGGAGCTCTGTCGTCCCGACAGTTTTTTTGTTCCTTCACCTGAAGAAGGCCGCTTGCGTTGTGGCCGAAACGTCGTGAGAATTTTATTGTTTTATTTTATTATTTAGTTCTCGTTCTACGTGGTGACTTTACCGAAAGAACCAAAGAAGAGGGGGAAATCTGCTGAGGCCGCCTGTTTATGAAGGTTTAGAGATGGGCGGGGCAGCCGACTTTAAATGTGGGCGGGGCAGCCGACATTAAATGTGGGCGGGGCAGCCGACATTAAATGTGGGCGGGGCAGCCGACATTAAACGTGAGCTCGGCGAGGGCCGTGGCTCACAAATTTGTCGCGAGCGATTTACGTCGAGATCTATTTCAATTTTTTGTATCCTACCTGCGTGAACTTTTACCGAAAGAACCACGTCGGGCGTTTTTTACTCGCGGCAATGCGGCACGGCGTAACGCGCACGTTATTTTCAGCAAAAACGTCTCTCTCTCTCTCTCCTCGCTCCCCGCCCTCCTCTCTTTCACCGCAGCTCTTCCGATGTGTATTTTGGCGAGGGCACCGCTGGGGTGTGGGGAGGGGGGGGCGGGGAAATGTTTCGATTGGGGAGACGAAGGGTGGTTGGTACCCGTCGGCATTCGATCGCTCGTTTTTTTTACTTTTTTTTAATTTTCATTTCTCTCGCGCCAATCAAAAAAAAATTGGGCGGGCGGACGGACGACGGGAAATCTCCTCCAACGGTCGCGCCAGCACCGACTTCCGGCTCGGCTCATCGCCACTTCCGCTTGCCACCGCCGCCATCGCCGGCGGCCTTGGCCACGCGCGGCCGGTGAGCGACGGCGAGCACCCCCCAGGACTGGGCGAGCAGCACAATGGGCAGCAGCACCCAGAGGCCGTCGAAGAAGACGAGGTAGAGCCAGAGGAGGTCGGCGCTGTCGGAGCGCAGGCTGGCGCTGCCCGCCAGCCACTCGGGGGCGGACGTCATCCAGCCGCTGTACAGCTCGCACACGCACAGGCACACCTGTACAAAGTGGCTACGTACAGCTCACACACGCACAGGCACACCTGTACAAAGTGGCTACGTACAGCTCGCACACGCACAGGCACACCTGTACAAAGTGGCTACGTACAGCTCGCACACGCACAGGCACACCTGTACAAAGTGGCTACGTACAGCTCGCACACACACAGGCACACCTGTACAAAGTGGCTACGTACAGCTCGCACACGCACAGGCACACCTGTACAAAGTGGCTACGTACAGCTCGCACACGCACAGGCACACCTGTACAAAGTGGCTACGTACAGCTCGCGCACGCACAGGCACACCTGTACAAAGTGGCTACGTACAGCTCGCACACGCACAGGCACACCTGTACAAAGTGGCTACATACAGCTCGCACACGCACAGGCACACCTGTACAAAGTGGCTACGTACAGCTCGCACACGCACAGGCACACCTGTACAAAGTGGCTACGTACAGCTCGCACACGCACAGGCACACCTGTACAAAGTGGCTACGTACAGCTCGCACACGCACAGGCACACCTGTACAAAGTGGCTACGTACAGCTCGCACACGCACAGGCACACCTGTACAAAGTGGCTACGTACAGCTCGCACACGCACAGGCACACCTGTACAAAGTGGCTACGTACAGCTCGCACACGCACAGGCACACCTGTACAAAGTGGCTACGTACAGCTCGCACACGCACAGGCACACCTGTACAAAGTGGCTACGTACAGCTCGCACACGCACAGGCACACCTGTACAAAGTGGCTACGTACAGCTCGCACACGCACAGGCACACCTGTACAAAGTGGCTACGGGTGGGCGGGGGAGGGGAGGGGGGAGCGTGGCGGTGGAGGTGGTGTGGGTGGAGGCGGCGGCGATGCGGGCGAGTGGTGCGGGCAGTCGTGTTGACGGCGATGTGGGTTAGTGGTGTGAGCGGAGGCGGTGATGGTGGTGGTGGTGTGGGCGGAAGTGGTGATGCGGGTTAGTGGTGTGGGCGGAGGTGGTGATGGTGGTGTGGGTGAGTGAGTGCACGGTGGAGACAACGTGGTTAGTGGTGTTGGTGGAGATGCGTCGTTACATGGACACCCCATAGCGTCGTCACGGATACGGTGACACCCACAGCGCCCCCCAGCGGTAGTGCGGCATGACACCTACGGGTAGAGCGGCGTGACCCCTACCGGTAGTGCGGCGTGACCCCTACCGGTAGAGCGGCGTGACCTCCTACCGGTAGAGCTGCGTGACCCCTACCGGTAGAGCTGCGTGACCCCTACCGGTAGTGTGGCGTGACCCCTACCAGTAGAGCGGCGTGACCCCTACCGGTAGAGCGGCGTGACCCCTACCTGTAGAGCGGCGTGACCCCTACCGGTAGAGTGGCGTGACCCCTACCGGTAGTGCGGCGTGACCCTTACCGGTAGAGCGGCGTGACCCCTACCGGTAGAGCGGCGTGACCCCTACCGGTAGAGCTGCGTGACCCCTACCGGTAGAGCTGCGTGACCCCTACCGGTAGAGCGGCGTGACCCCTACCGGTAGAGCGGCGTGACCCCTACCGGTAGAGCGGCGTGACCCCTACCGGTAGAGCGGCGTGACCCCTACCGGTAGTGCGGTGTGACCCTTACCGGTAGAGCGGCGTGACCCTTACCGGTAGAGCGGCGTGACCCCTACCGGTAGTGCTTGTTCTGGACGATGGCGAACACCAGCAGCAGCGCCAGGGGCCCCGCAACCGCCACCGTCAGGATCTCGAGCGCCACCACGGTGGGGTCCGAGTGAAGCCAGCGGCTGTCGACGCGACCGTACTCCTTCCCTGCGGCACGCCGGGGCACGGCGTCGGCACGGCACGGTCGCCGCAAGGCGCCGTTTCAGATGTCATTTTTATTGTACCAGGTAAGGTCCCACTGAGGTCTCTACATCTCGTCTACAAACTAAACTATTTTTTTTATTTAAAGCTTTCGTGACTGCAGTAATTCATATTCTTAGTTTTTTCGGTTAAGTCACGTTGAAGGGAAACAATAACGTGACTTTACCGAAAGAAATAAGAATATGAATATAAACTATTTTTATTGTAACCAGGTAAGGTCCCACTGAGGTCTCAACATCTCATCTACAAACTAAACTATTTTTATCGTACTAGGTAAGGTCCCACTGACCTCCCTACATCTCATCTACAAAACTAAACTATTTTTGCTCCGTGGTTCTTTCGGTAAAGTCACGTAGGAAATAAAATCAAACAATAATAATAGTATCCGACGTTTCGATTGCAACACAAGCAACCGACATCAGGTAAGAGTGAATGAGAAAACAAGCACACAGTAAACTTAGAAACACAATGCAACACAACACAGAGAGCTGTCGTGGACGTGAACCCCGGTGAGCAGTTGGCTTACACAGCATGGAGTGGACGCTGTCCGACTCCGCCAGAGATCTCACCAGCGAGATGCAGACGAAGGGACCCTCCTGCAGGCACAAAGACAAAGGTCCCCCCCACCCCCACCGTGTAGCCTCAGACAGACTGTTGGGGCAAGTGCTGTGTAGCAACACCAACATCACAGGCAGGTGTAGCTACACCATCACTCACAGAGTGTAGCTACACCATCACTCACAGAGTGTAGCTACACCATCACTCACCCAGTGTAGCTACACCATCACCAGCGTAGCTACACCATCACTCACCCAGTGTAGCTACACCATCACCAGCGTAGCTACAGCATCACTCACCCAGTGTCGCTACACCATCACCAGCGTAGCTACACCATCACCAGTGTAGCTACACCATCACTCACCCAGTGTAGCTACACCATCACCAGTGTAGCTACACCATCACTCACCCAGTGTAGCTACACCATCACCAGTGTAGCTACACCATCACCAGCGTAGCTACACCATCACTCACCCAGCGTAGCTACACCATCACTCACCCAGTGTAGCTACACCATCACCAGCGTAGCTACACTATCACTCACCCAGTGTAGCTACACCATCACCAGCATAGCTACACCATCACTCACCCAGTGTAGCTACACCATCACCAGTGTAGCTACACCATCACCAGCGTAGCTACACCAACACTCACCCAGTGTAGCTACACCATCACCAGTGTAGCTACACCATCACCAGTGTAGCTACACCATCACCAGTGTAGCTACACCAACACTCAACCAGTGTAGCTACACCATCACCCAGTGTAGCTACACCATCACCAGTGTAGCTACACCATCACTCACCCAGTGTAGCTACACCAACACTCACCCAGTGTAGCTACACCATCACCAGTGTAGCTACACCATTACCAGTGTAGCTACACCATCACCCACCCAGTGTAGCTACACCATCACCAGTGTAGCTACACCATTACCCAGTGTAGCTACACCATCACTCACCCAGCATAGCCACACCATCACCAGTGTAGCTACACCATCACCAGCGTAGCTACACCATCACCAACGTAGCAACACCATCACTCACCCAGTGTAGCTACACCATCACCAGTGTAGCTACACCATCACCCACCCAGTGTAGCTACACCATCACCCAGTGTAGCTACACCATCACCCAGTGTAGCTACACCATCACTCACCCAGTGTAGCTACACCATCACCAGTGTAGCTACACCATCACCCAGTGTAGCTACACCATCACTCACCCAGTGTAGCTACACCATCACCAGCGTAGCTACACCATCACTCACCCAGTGTAGCTACACCATCACCAGTGTAGCTACACCATCACTCACCCAGTGTAGCTACACCATCACCAGCGTAGCTACACCATCACTCACCCAGTGTAGCTACATCATCACCAGCATAGCTGCACCATCAACCAGTGTAGCTACACCATCACTCACCCAGTGTAGCTACACCATCACCAGCGTAGCTACACCATCACTCACCCAGTGTAGCTACACCATCACCAGTGTAGCTACAGCATCACCCCCCCCCAGTGTAGCTACACCATCACCAGTGTAGCTACACCATCACCAGTGTAGCTACACCATCACCAGTGTAGCTACACCATCACTCACCCAGTGTAGCTACACCATTACCCAGTGTAGCTACACCATCACTCACCATCACCACCACCATCATCACCACCACCATCACCACCACCATCACCACCATCAGCACCACCATTACCATCATTAATAACGACAACCGCCATTCGCCACTAAGTGGCGGTGACGTCACCACGACGCTTGTGCCAGGCTATGTGCACCTTGAGGCTACCACGTGAAGTGTCGAACGCCCGCTGGCAGGATGTCATGGGGCAGATCCAGCAGGTGCCACGGGTATACTGACTGAGATGACCGAGATGACTGGCTGATGCACCACCTGTGCCCCCTACTGTGCCAACTTGCTGTGCTTTAGCCACCCGGCGCTCCGCTCGTTGTTGTGAGCGACTGCCTCCAACTGCCCAGTAGCGTCCTTCACGAGCCTCCTCCACAGAGGCCGATCTTGACACCACTGGTACCAGCTCCACATCCTCCTGTACCACATCACTCCATCTCTTCTCTAGCCCATGCCGCGCCCGTTTAGCCCCCTCGATCTGGCAGAACAAAAGCTGTTTAGGCATGCGGTGGCTGGGCATGCGGGCAACATGGCCCAGCCAACGCAGCCTTGCTTGCCGGAGGTGCTCACCGATGGGACTTTGTCCAGATCTTTCGAGGATTTGTGAGCTCCTCACACAATCCAGCCTGGTTAAACCCAAGATTGATCGTAGGCAGGCCAGTCTAAATGTTTCTAACCGACGAAAGATGTTCCATTAGAGGGGTCCACGTTTCGCAAGCGTAGAGAACAGAGGGAATGACTGTGGCTGAGAAGACCCGAAGCTTCAGACCACGTAGCTTCCACACAGCGTTACGCATCCAATTAAAAGATATTGCCGCTCGACTGATTCGGAGTGATACCTCTGCTGTTAAACCGGAGCCGGTCATGAGCACACTGCCCAGGTATGGGAAACTTTCCACTCTCTCGACAACTGCCCCATCACCGATTGGGAATTGTGGGGGTGGAGTGTCCGATGGTACAAAATACCCAGGAAGGTACTTCGTTTTGATGGGGCTGATGGTAAGGCGCCACCTCTTAGTGGCACACTCCAGTTTCAGCCGCAGCGCCTCCAACTCCTCCTCTGAGTGAGCCGCAATTACCAGGTCGTCGGCATACGTAACGCGGTTGATCAATAGGGAGCCATCCCTTGACCGTACCCTGGCATCGATCAGCCTCACATTGTATCTGTACCAGATGGAAATTCCTTCGGTACAGCTACTGAAGGCTTCACGAACTACGTGGTCGAAATAGATGTTAAATAATATTGGAGCCAGAGGACATCCCTGTCGCACCCCAAGGTGAACAGGGAATGGCTCCGATTCCCGGCACGTAGTTTTATCCGGGCCCGCTCACCATCATGAAGGTCCTTAATGATCGTGAGCAGCGGGTTAGGGACTCCGAAAGCGCGAAGAACAACCCAGAGCCCAGGTATACTGGTGGTATCATAGGCTTTGACCAGGTCAATAAAGCAGAGATGTAGGTCTTGTTGGAATTCCCAACACCTCTGCTGTAGTAAACGGACAGAAAATATAGCATCTGTGCAGGACCGCCCTTTCCTGAAACCGCATTGGGGCTCCACAAGCCTCTCCTCAGCGCGCCTGGCAAGGCGATGTTGAATAATTCTTGCCAGGACCTTTCCTGGCACACTGAGGAGTGAGATGCCTCTGTAGTTGTTACAGTCTGTGCGGTCTCCCTTCTTAAATATGGGGACCACCAGGGCATCCTTCAAGTCCTGCGGAACCGGTCCAGTGGTCTAGACTGTTTGTTATGATGTCATGTAGGACAGTCTGTGCACAAACGCCACCCTCCCTCAGCATTTCGATTGGGAGATCATCTCTACCCGGTGCCTTTCCTGGTCTCAGACTCCGGATCGCCTTCAGTACTTCCTCAACAGATGGTTCTTCAGCCAGCCACTCACAGGGGGTGACTTCTTCCAATATTTGAACCACTGCAGCCTCAGCAGGGTCATCCTCACTTTGTGCCACGATGTTTTCCTGGCTGAGGGATGTCCCCCACCCCCAGGACTTCACAGAAATGCGCAGCAAAATCTGCAAACCTGTTCCTAGCGGGGGGTCGGAGATTGGATCACCGTTTTTTCCCCTAATGATGGTAAATAAGTGTGGCGCTGCAATGTAACTACACCACCACCACCCACTCACCCACTCACTCACCAGTGTGATGTGAACCACTGCGTCATAGAGCAGCCAGGCCACGACCCATCGCTCTGCGGGCGGCAGCTGCAGGCGGCCTCCCACCACCCGCGACAGAGCGAGGGCCGCGCGCGCCTGGAAGGCGCAGAGGGCGAGCGACAGGCACGCCGCTCGGCTCGGCCACGCGGGGTCATCGGCACCACCCCCAGCATCAGAGACAGCAGCAGCAGGAGCAGGAGACGGCATCTCCATCACTGTCGCGCGCGCGTGGGTGAGTAGGGGGTGGGTTGTGGGTGGGTTGTGAGTGGGTAAGGGTGGGTTGTGGGTGGGTAGGGGGTGGGTAGGGGGTGGGTAAGGGGTGGGTAGGGGTGGGTAGGGGTGGCTAGTGGGTGGGTAGGAGGTGGGTAGGGGTGGGTTGTGGGTGGGTAGGGGGTGGGTTGTAGGTGGGTAGGGAGTGGTTGTGGGTAGGGGGTGGGTAGGGGGTGGGTAGGGGGTGGGTAGGGGTGGGTAGTGGTGGGTAGTGGGTGGGCAGGGGTGGGTTGTGGGTGGGGGAATCGCCGCTTTGCCCTGGCGATGGGTTTAGTCATCATTTGAGGGGTGAATCTAAAATTGCCACATGTCGTGAAAGGCCAGTATATGTTCATGGGGGGTTTGTGTCACATCAACAGAACGTGGCCAATTCGTTACTAGTACAGCACTAAGTTGTGTGTTGGAGAGTTAAACCCACTACTACATTTACAATTCGTTACTAGTACAGCACTAACCGGTTGCTGTGTGTTGGAGAGTTAAACCCACTGCAACATTCACAATTCGTTACTAGTACAGCACTCACCGGTTGCTGTGTGTTGGAGAGTTAAACCCACTGCAACATTTACAATTCGTTACTAGTACAGCGCAAGCCGGTTGCTGTGTGTTGGAGAGTTAAACCCACTACAACATTTACAATTCGTTACTAGTACAGCACTAACCGGTTGCTGTGTGTTGGAGAGTTAAACCCACTGCAACATTCACAATTCGTTACTAGTACAGCACTCACCGGTTGCTGTGTGTTGGAGAGTTAAACCCACTACAACATTTACAATTCGTTACTAGTACAGCACTAACCGGTTGCTGTGTGTTGGAGAGTTAAACCCACTACAACATTTACAATTCGTTACTAGTACAGCACTAACCGGTTGCTGTGTGTTGGAGAGTTAAACCCACTACAACATTTACAATTCGTT